CCAAACAATACTACTAAGGTCTGCTGGAGTAATTTTATGCCCTGGAAGATTACCCAGCCTAATTTAAAAATTCTGTAAATTCCTAACTTGGAAAAATATCTGTAGCTAAAGAAAGAGTAGTTTATACAGGTGTTGGTAATTTAGCATGGGCCTAAGAATGAGATTTATTTTCTAAGAAATGATAAGTAACATTGCATTATTAGAAGGCTTTAAATACTATATTCTGTCTCTGTTAACATATTTTTAACTGACAGTGCTATTTGGTTGTAATATTTGGTAATACTAGTGTTTTAGATAAGCATCTATTTTTATGTACAACTGGTTTTTAAATTAGTTTCTTCAAATTTCACTGAATATATCATTTTTAAGATTTTTAAATATTTTAATACAAATGAAATAAGGAAAATGAGATTTTTTAAAAGGCTGTTTAAATTTCAGTCCTGTTTTTCTAAATGAGTTATAAATTACAAAATGGAATAAAATATTTCAAACACTATGTTTTAATTATTTACAGTGTTACCATTTTATTTGTTAACATATGTTAATGAATCTCAAGGAACACATTATTATAATAGGAATATTTTTAAATGTGGCTTAGCAAAAATAAGAAGTTAGATCATACCGTTCAGAGATACTTACTATTAACATTTTCCTATACAGTTTATGTATTATCAGGCATATATGTGTGTGTTGTATGTATTATTTTAATAAAATGGGACTGTGCTTGGTAGAAGTCAATCAAGGAAAGGTGTTGTATTAGTGCATTTTCACACTGCTATAAAGAACTACCTGAGACTGGGTAATTTATAAAAAAAAAATCAATTTAATTGACTCACAATTCTGCATGGTTGGGAAGACCTCAGGAAACTTACAGTCATGGTGGGAGGCTAAAAGGAAGCAAGGCACATCTTACATGGTAACAGGAGAGAGAGAGAAGGGGGAAGAGCCACACACTTACAAAACAAACCATGAGAACTCCATTGTCAGAACAGCATAGGGGATACTGCCCCCATGATCCAATCACCTCCCACGAGGTTCCTCCCCTGACACATAGGGTTTACAATTCAAGATGAGATTTGGGTCGGGCCACAGTACCAAACCGTATCAGCCGTCTTCAATTTACTGTTTACAGTAAATCTTCAATTTACTGTTTAGCTCATTCAGAAATTATAAATAGGTAAACATTGCTCAACATTCGTGTTGCTTCCTTTACATATATTGTAATGTTTTGGTTCTGTGTTTATTTTTATATTTGAGCTCATATTTTACCTATCTGAATGTGATTTACTACAGGCCTCTCTTTGGTATGCTTTTGCTCATCTGTTTTACCTGAGTATGGCTAGCTAGCTACCCCTAGACTCTCAAGACAAAATTTCTGCCGTCACTGCCACCACCTGAGATCAAAGGCCCATGCCCTCTACTTGCTTAGCACAAGTTAAGGAAGAGAGACTGCAAAAAATTAATTCCCTTTTCCCTTTGTACACACATTTCAAAGAACCACCCTATCTCTTCCTCTAGCAACCTTCTCTCAGTTATATTTTCTAAGAGCACGAACTAGCCTGTTTTCTGTGAGTTTGGTGCCATGTTTTTTTTCTTTATTTATTGTCATTCGTTCATTCAGCAGTTACGTATTAGACACCTACTGTGTATTGGGCATACTTCAAAGCACTGAAGATATCATAGTAAAAAGTCATACAAGGTCACTGACCTGAAGGGAAGTGAAATAATTGAATAAATAATGTATAGCATAAGTAAGATTTTACAAAAACATAATGTAGCTGCTCTCTATCTAGATCAAAAGGGAGGCTCAAATGACAGAGGACTACCTGCTTTCGCAGAACACCCATCTTTCTTATTTAGAAATGTTTTATAGGTTTTGTTCTAATGAGATAGTTTTCTCAGATTTTGAGGCAAAAAGGGAAGAGATAAGGGTGTTGAAATGCCTTTACTCTCTTGAGCTACATGTACTTTTAGTATGCAAAATATTGGAAATTTGATTAATTGAATTTTCCATATTTACATATTAAAAGTGCATATATTGAAAATATAAAGTGGTCCCATTGCTAAAATATACATGTTAAGTATACATTTAATGAGAAAAACCATCAGTTGAATAATTTTATGGTGTCCACATGCACGCTACCTAGTAAAGTTTTAGGCTGTGTTGTGGACCATGTGGCTCATTGGTTTCTACTTGACATCAGAAAAGCCAATTGAAATTCTACAAGTGAATGGTACATGATAGGGTGCTATTTATAAATTATGAATGACTTATACTTTTATCTAAATTTTAAATGGTTAATATACCTTCTAGGAAGTTTTGATTCAGAAAATGTCATGTTTTACAATGTCATGTTTTGAGTATAAGAAGAGATTTATGATTTTATTAAAGAAAAATCAGCTTTTCTTTACACTATTAAACATTGAGTAAATATTTAAGGGATGTTATTAAAGAAGCACCAAACATGCCAGGGCACTTCATGTTTCGGTTTGTGCTTGTTGTTCTGTTATGTAAATTTTTTTTCATTTCATTCATCATGAACCTCTTTCTGTGCCAATAAATAAAGGGCTACATTATAAATTTAATTTTGGTTTTTCATGATGAATCAGTTTATTTAGCTAACCTCTTGATGTTGAACCTTAAGTTTAATTTTTTATTTTTTGCTATTAGAAAAAAAAGTTATGAATAACTCTGTATTTTCAACTGTATACTTTTCTAATTGTTTGCTTGTGAATTTTAATTAAAAAAAAATGATTACTGGGTCAAAATACATTTGCTGCTTATTGCTAAGTTGCCCTTTAGAAAGAGCATGCTAACTTATCATTCCAGTAGAATTGTACTAGAGTATCCATTCTACATGTCCATACTAAACTTTTATAATTAGTTGCCAATCAGAGCTATATGGTGATATTTGATGGAAGTTTGATTTGATTTTTTTAATACAATTGAAAATGAATATTTTTGCATTAGATGATTACATTAGTCTTTTCCCAGTCCTTTCCCTTCTTCCACTTTCTTTGGCTTTCATTCTTCCTTTGGCATGATTGTGCCATGGTATGTGTGCATGTGGGTATGTGCGTGAGAGTCAGTGAAATTGCTGTTTATATGCCTAGCTCATTTTCTTTTCTGGTTGATGTTTACTTTTTTCTTAAGGATTTTTAAAAACATTTCATACATTAAGGAATAAATGCTACATTCAATCTAACATTTATTACATATGTTGCAAGTTCCCCCAGTTTGATCGTAGCTTTCTCCCTTTGTTTTGGATCTATAGAAATTATAAAGTATGTGTTTGTTAAATGCTGTGTGGAAAAGAATCCTCTTATACTTTGCTGGTGGGAGACTAAAGGAAAACAAACAGACTTTGAAAGAAATATGATTTATGATCCTTGATTGATCCTCAATTAGGAGAAACAACAGCTATGAAGAACATTGTTTAACATAGCACTTTATGTAGAAATAAAAGATTTATCTTATCCTAAAATGTCACCTCGAGAACTATAGCAAAAAACATGAAAATAGTGTTATCATTGTATGCATCATATTTTAAATAAGGTGAGAAAACAATGGCACATTTTTATTTTTTGAGTTTACCAGGAAAAGTTATAATTGTCAAAATGTTTTATTTACAAAATCCAATTGTTTATTTTTGAACTTTGCTGCCAAGTGAATTTTTAAAAGTGAACTAGCACATTTTTACCTCTCCAGTTTCTGCAATATAGTTAACTATAAGGAGTCTTCTTTTTTTTCTGGAAACATGTTATGTTGAAACTCAGTTATATGCATAACCTGTAAGTAGATTTACATTTTTCATGAAAGCTATATCCGAAATATCTGTCTTCTCTTTAAAATATAGTCTTAACAAGTTAACAAAAATGCTAATACTATTTAATTCTAACTGTTGTATATTGAAATACAATGAAAAAAAGTAAAAAATGGATTTATATTTTTAAATTTACTATGGCTTTAATAGCTGGAATTAGTTGCAAAAGAACAGCTGCATCTTTAGCACCACAGGCTTAAATTAAGGTCCCAAAGTCCCATAGGTTTTACATTCCGTGACATGTTAGCAAGAAACTTACAAATATAGAAAGGCTCATGTTCTAAGACAGAACATGATCCATATAATATCCATGATTAGTAAAGCAAATAAAATTCAGTCCAACATCAGGGTCTGTAAAGAAAATAAAATGATGAGAGATGAGAAAAAAAAGAAGGAAGTAGTTAGTTCCTCTTACAGTTTCAATAATATCCCAAACAATTCATTTTTATCTACAGTATTTAAGAAATGGGTTTGTTTAGTTGATTGTTTCTTTAGTTGCTAATGTGATTATTTTAAATTTCTCACATTGTGTAATCTGAAGTATTTATACATAGTCCTTGCTGAAACTATTTCTCTTGTAGCATTTAATGATATAAAATCCTTAGACATAATAGTTTTTTCCCTATCTTTATTTCCATAAATGAGAAGCTTGAGAAAATAATAGGGAATGCTTTGATTCATAGTAAATGGGCACTTTGATTTATGATTGATTATTTTAATAGCTGAAAATCTTAGAAGAGCATAATAAATTTTTTTTCTCCTCAAAATAGTTATTATTTAAAATGTTTTTTACCAATTATAATTTCAGTCTTCCTGGAAGTGAGCCAAAGCGGAACTCTCAAAACAAAAAGGACAATACCTTGATTCCTTACCAATAATGCCTGTGTTTTTTTTAAATAATATAACAATTTTAAAATTACGTTTATAGATGTATTAATGAGAAGATAAAATATTATTTCTTTATACTTCAAATGTACTGCCAACATTCAAAACAAATCTGTCGATTGCTTCAAATAAACATGCTTCCAGTATTTTTTTTCCTTAAAAAGACAATCGTAATAGCTTGTCTGTATACCACCTATTAATTTTGCTTGTTGCACACATACGTATATTTGAAGATGAGTTTGTATATGTGTTCATATGCAGTTGAATCCACATCTAATTCTTCTTCCCTAGCACCTATGCAACTGTATGCCACCGTGTTCCCTTTATCTTCTTTGGCCCCTGATGTACTAGCAAACTAAGAATGATGTTATCTCAGCAATGTCAAAATGTCAAGTAATGAGGATCCTACCTAACCTTAAGGTGATATTGTATCTTCTTTTTCTTTTTATTAACATCTTTGGTTTAGTTCTACAAATAGCACTGAATTGCTACCTTCGTAAAATTATGAAGTGAGTACCTCAAGTAAATTTGATTGTGATGTTTTAGTTTTGGAGAAGATGCTTTATAAAATAATACTTGGTAAGGGTATTAAGAGGTTTGACATGCAAAAATGTGGCATACATAAGTTTGTTGATAAAAAATTAAAAGTGTTTATTATAGGACTCTTTTTTAATCTGCTGATGAGCACTGTGAATCATTTAGAGGCGAGGACATAAATGCAGTTTTTTCCCTCAAAAGTATTTGACCAGAGATATCTTTTTTTCATAAAGCATATTATATGACAAATATTTTATAGGACATACTTTGAGAACTGTTAGGCAAATATTTGGGAGCTTTAATACTTTAAAAAGTCTTGTATCTTCAATTTAAAATGATTAGAGACACAATTATATTTTTTATTGTAAACAATACTTTCTGCAATTTCTAAATTTTCTTGAAGTGATAACTTCAGAATTTTATGAATATGGTCACATTTTTTCAACTGATAATAATATCTGTTTTTCTTCCACATACTGTGTATTGCCTGAGTTTTTCCTATCTATCTCCATTTCTTTTCATATTCCCCTTGAACTTTTTACTCAGCTATACTCTTCTTAAAAGAGACATCATAGTTCTGAAAATCCTTTTGATTTCTCTTTTTTTTTTTCTCCTGGGAGGTAGGATACTGTTCTTTTAAATATGCTTTGAAGTGACCTTTACACGTGTAGTTCTCTTTTCCTGGGATGGCCCCTTACCTCAAGAGCTTTTTGTGATTTAGAACTCTGGTTAAGTGTGACCCACTCAGTAAGCCAAGCAGTAAGCTTTTCCTGCCATCTATTTATTCATTCATTTAATCTGTTATAAATCACAAATATTTAGTAAGTATTTGACACATATGCACATGTGTGCCAGGATGCTGTGAGTATAAATATAAGAATATGAATATGTAAAGAGCTTACATTCTTATGAGCTCTACAGGTTAGTGAACAGGCAATAATTGCTGTTATGAGTAAGTACACAAAAAGAACACATAATCTAGACTGTGGAAACCAGGGAACACTTCTCTGGTAAACTGATAAATGGGCAAAGATTGGAAGGATAAATAGGAGTTAGCGAGGTAAAAGGATGAGTATGCAATCAGAACACCTGAGAAAAGTGTAAAAAACTTGGATAGACATAAATGAAAATCAGTGTAATTACTAGGGAAATAGCCAGGAAGACATTGATAATATGTGGTAGGAGAAGTGTTATAGTATTTATAGTATTAACAAATATCACGGCTTTAAGAACTCTAAGTCTGGACTTTGAGACCACGCTGGAATTGACTATGGCTAATAAGAAGGTTTTCTGCTATGTACAAAACACTTTATAAGTCACACACATTGAGTTTGTTTTTTCATACCATAGCCATATAACACTACAATGGAAAGAAGGCCCTACCTAAATTTCCATAAGAGAGTAAATTCCCAACAAGGTTGGATAGATCACTTGTGTACCTCTTTTCCATATCTGAGAAATACGGAAGTGCTTAAAGTCCATATATGTTTTGTCCAGACTGAGTGGTCAAAGTCCTTGTAAAATTTTTTACAGGCTACACACTGCTGTTACCCATAGAGTTTCTATATCACTTTCCTGTTTTCCTTGAGTTACACATAAAGAACAGTAGCCTATAGCATAAAAGTTTCTTTTCAATACGGATATCTACCCTGCATTATTAAGTATTAGACACGAAGGAAAACCAATTTGCTGCATCATACAAATTCACATTGTTTTATGTATACTTTTAGACTGTTGGTCTCTAATTTTATTTTTTCTTACCTTTATTTGTGTTTATTTAAATAAATTTTATTGTGTATAGTTAAGGTATATGACATAATGTTATAAGACATAGATACAGGTTTTTCAGCAGTGAAATGGTTACTACAATAGAGCAAATTAACGTATCTATCATTTCTCATAGTTACCTATTTTGCCTCCTGTGGCAAGAACAGCTGTAATTTTATTTAGCAAAAATCCTGGAAACAATATACTATTATTAGCCATAGTTGTATGTAGTACGTTAGATAGTTCATCCTACCTGTTTGCTACTTTGTATCATTTACCCTTCATCTCCTCATGTACTCCCACCCTGGCAACTGCTGTTTTATTCTCTATCTCTATATATTTGACCTTTTCTTTTTTGGTAGATTCTACATATCTAAGTAAGAATATGCAATATTTGCCTTCCTGTGGCTGGCTTATTTCACTTAGCATAATATTCTCCAAGTCCACCCAAGTTGTGGCAAATGACAGGATGCCCTCCTTTTAAATCTGCTTTAAAGTGTTTATAAGGAGACTGCAGGTAAATTTTCAAAATGTTAATTCCTTTCAAATCAATCAAAGAAAATTTTCTTTAATATTCTCAGAACCAACGCTTCAGGATACTTTTGTAGGTCTTACTCAGAAATAAGACTCTTTGTGAAATTCTCAGACAGGTTCACTTTTAATGTCAAATTGGGTTGTGTTTGTTTGTTTCTGTGATAGGTAAGTTAGATAATATATTATACCTGCTACTACATATACAAATGTCTGTAATCATGGCTTAACAGTAGGAAAAGACTAGAAATAGTTTTACTGTAAACATAATTCTTTTAATGTTTTAGTAATAAGTGGCATTTATTTATTGAATATTCTTGTCAGTTGATTATAGATGTTTGTAAAATAACAGGCTTATTAGAGATTTACTGAGTAGATAAATGACATAAGGATTAATACTCAGTAAATAGTTAATTTGTTTTTAAATTTGTTTATAGAAATATCCCATATTAACACTTTATTTTTTAATGTATTAGTAGAATTTTTATTCAACATCATGTATTTCAGAATTTCTACATTAAAAAGTCACGATCAATATAATAACCGTTCTAGTATAAGATAGTAGAATTTGGTCAGATAATTTAATTGATAAAGATATTTATTTCTTTTCTTAACAGTATATAGTTACTAGCATTCTAGTAAATGCCATTCCTAGTATGTCTGGGTTTGATATGCAGCAATATTCTAAGAAAGCCTCAGTTTGTGGTCAGATTTAATTTTTTTATTACGGTGACTAAGTTTAATTAGGAAGTTTGATTTGTACTCCTTACTTGACTAGTTCAGGAAATCAGTTTATTGGAATCTTTTTCCATTCACAATTATTCTCTGGATTTGGATATGTAATAGAAAATGTAGTCAGAAAATAATTGAATAAGGAGGCATTGAGCTGATCTTCAATCCCTGGGTGTTTCTAACAGGATAGATAGAATCTTTTGGAATAGAAATGTATGGTAGGTATATTCATTAGTACATTTCAGTAAGGGAGCATTATGTGATAATTCTTAGTAAGTAGAAAGGTCTAATCATGATCTTTGCTTTACCTCAGGCCATTGATAGTTCGTATATATTTTCCCTCTTCTTTTGACATTTACATTGGATTTTAATGCAATAATTCTGGAATTAAAAATCTTGTTCTAATAGGGCTCATCCAAGGTCATAGTTTTATTTTATTAAATGAATAGTTATTTGTTAACAGCTTGCTAAGTAGTAGGCTGAGGATACACATGTGAACAAAACAGTCCAAGTTCCTGTTCATTTGGACCTTTTGTTCCATCAGAGAGAGGTAAACAATGAAGTAAGCAAATTACAACAAACAAAAATTTCAGAAAATTGTAAGGGTCATAAAGGAGTATAACGTGATAGTGATTTGGAAGAGGCTGTTTATGGCTGTTAAGAAAGCCTTCTCTGATAAGATATTATTGAGCTAAGGCTTTTATGATGAGAAAGGGGCTGCTATGGGAAAAGCCAGTGGAACAGTGTTCCCAGGATAGGGATCAGTGGGAATAAAAGGCCTAAGAGAGAATAAGTGTGGCAAGCCCCAGGAACTAAAAAAGACCTAACTCCCTGGAGTGTAGAAAAAGAGAGAAAGAGTAATATGAGATGGGGACTGAGGAGAGCTCAGCACAGGTCAAATCCTGATGGATTTTGAAAGCCATAGTAAAGGGTTTAGACTTAACTCTTAATATGAGATGAGAAGCCATAAGTTTATAAACAGGTAAATTACATAATATTTACAGGTTCAAAATATTATTCTGAGAGAGGAGTGGATTGTAGTAGAGCAAATAGTGAACCAAGGTGGACAGTAATTAGCAGACTATTGAAGTGGACATGTTTAGAGCAAATAGTGTCTTGCACTAGGGAGGTCTTGGAGTGGGGAGGGGGGGGAGAGAGAGAGAGTGAATTCAGAATGTATTTTATGGTATTTACAACCAAGGGGACTAAATGAACATTATCCTGGGAAGAGAGTAGCAACACAGAAGCCAGAAGAGGAAACTATTTCCATAAGGAGGAAGTGGCTAATGGAAGCCACTACATGAAAAGGAAAGGTAAAATGCCATAATACTGTAGCACTTGATATTTTTCCTTATGGCTATAGTTTACCAGTATCTCTGTCAGTTTTCTTTATTGACTGAAAACTGATTTAATGTCTGCCTCTACACCTATACATCTGTTCAGCCTTTGTTTCCAAACACTTTGAAGAAAAGAGGAAAAGCTGTGACAACTTTAACAAAGAAGTGGCAAAGTGGACCAAGGAAAAGAGCCAAAATATCATGGCCCCCCAAAACCTGGGATTTGAGAGAGAAGAGAAAAATAACAACAACAGCTTCCCTACCTGCTCCATAGGACATAAAGAGCTAAGGACACAGTCTAATTTTGCCTAGGAGATGAAGCTAAAAGGAACATTCATAAAAGAAGTTTTGGATATGAGGCATATGCTCAAACTTGAGATAATCAAGAGCATTATGAAGAAATTTAGAAGGACAGGGAAGGATACAGAATTGGGTGAGATTCAGAGATATATGGATTACTATGAGGATAAGAGTCTGATGATGGCTAGAGAAACAGACTTCTGGTAACTTCGATATTTAGAAATATGAGGAATAGCAGTCTCTTAGGGGAAGATGGGCAGTTAGAGTTATAGTCCAGCTTGTTGTTTTAAGGGTATGATACCACTGACCTTTCTTTTCTGCTTCTTGTAATTATGTGGTGAGTTTTGATGGGGGACAAGCAGGAGTAGTTAAATACTGAAGTCACTAACGGTTAGGGGAAGAGTTGGCTCAAATGAACTAACTGGAGGATACCCAAGTACTTATTTACAGGAGGCAGATTAATGAGTAGAGGCAGGAAACCAAAAACTGCATGGAGAGTATACAGGAAACCAAAGACTCAGAGATTCCCCTCTAAAGGAAAGGCCAGAGGGTGACAGAGAGCCAGTCATCTGTCCTCACATGGATTAGAGGCTAGTAAGTCACCAAAAGTCCAAGGATCTGTCTTCAAGTGGATTAGAAGTCAGAAGGACAGTCCAGAGGAAGACTAGGTTTGAGACTGTGGATAATTGTGTATTCCTGTAATAGCGCATGAATATACCTGACAGGGATCACACTCTGTTACATCCAGGTAATATCTACTCTGGTATTCTGCCAGTTGTCAGGCCTCATCTATAGCATTTTAATAATTCAGAATAAAAGAGACAAGGATAGGAGAGAGACTTTTATGAAAGAAGAAGGATTGGAATTAACAGAAATACATTGTGGAAACATAGATCTCTATAATATTCTGAGACTTGTATTTTTAAAACTAAGTTTGTAATGGGTAAGTCAGATTTTGTTCATAGTGTCACAGAAACGTACCTGAAATGTAGCTACCTATTTTGACCTGTACTCAAGCAGGTGTCTGACAGATGTATTATCTATTTCCACATGTCACTATTAGCCCCTATAACTCTTAAGATATTCTGATATTCTTTAATTTACAATTCTATAATAATTAATGTTGAAAAATGGGTAATAACATACTCCATTGTGTGTTCACATCAGGGAATACAAAAATAATTTTTAGCAAATGAGTTGCAGAATTTCTGAGCTTCGCCTTCATACCCAAAGTCACATTATTTTTCTAAATATATTGTGTATGCTGAAGCTATTTTTTATTTTTTATTTTTTTTAATTTTTTTTGAGACAGAACCTCACTGTGTAGCCCAGGCTGGAGTGCAGTGGCATAATCCCAGCTCACTGAAACCTCTGCCTCCCGGGTTCAAGTGATTCTCCTGCCTCAACCTTCCGAGTAACTGGGATTACAGGTGCACACCTCCATGCCTGGCTAATTGTTATAATTTTTAATAGAGATGGGGTTTCACCATGTTGGCCAGGGTGGTCTCGAACTCCTGACTTCAAGTGATCGCCTACCTCGGCCTCCCAAAATGCTGGGATTACAGGTGTGAGCCACCGCGCCCAGCTGCTATTTATTTTAATTAAGTGTTTTGTTATTTGTTCTCAGCATTTTAGTCATAGCATAGCTGTAATGTACAGGAAAAATATAGATTACCACAGTGTATTAATGATAGGTTTGTAATTTTTTTCTTGATGAAATATGCATTTTTTGTTAAAATGGTAAAAGGAATTTATGGACAAGCCGCAGCTAACATCACACTCATAGTGAAGACTGAAAGCTTTTCCCATAAGATAAGAAACAAGACATGGATGCCTGCTTTCACCACTGTTATTAAACATTGTTCTGGTACTTGTAGCCAGAATAATTGGACAAGAAAACAAAAAGGGTATCCAAATTGGAAAGGAAGAAGTACAACTATCTCTATTTGCAGATGACATCCTCCTGTATATACAAAACTCCAAAGAATCAACAAGCAAGCCACTATAGCTAATAAATTAAGCCAAGTTTTAGAATAAACAAAAATCAGTTTGTTTCTATACACCACAGTGTACAGTCCAAAAAGGAAATTAAGAAATAAATTTCATTTACAGTAGCATCTAAAATAGTAAAATGCCTGGGAATAAATTTAACCGAGGAGGTACAAAACTGAAGACCTAACTAAATGGTAAGGCATCCCATTTCATGGGTGAGTACACTTAATGTTGTTAAAACATCAGTACTACCCAAAGTATACAGACTCAACTTAATTGCTATCAGAATTCTAAGTGGTTGTTGTTTGTTTGTTTGTTTGTTTACAGAAATGGGAAGCCTGATTCTCAAAATGCATACGGAATTACAAGGTTCCCAGAATAGATAAAACAATATTGAAAAAGCACAGAGTTGAGGATTCACACTCCTGATTTCAAAACTTACTGTAAAGATACAGTTACCAAAAGAGTCTGGTACTGGCATTAGGATAGACAATAATTAATGGAGTCTAGAAATAATTCCATATAACTATAGCCAATTGATTTTTGACAAGGGTATCAAGTTCATTCAATGGGAAGAGAACAGTCTCTTCAACAAGTGTTGGAACACCTGGATTTCCACATGCAAGAGTGGAGTTAGAACCCTCCTCATATCATATTAAAATATCAAAATTAATTCAAAATAGATCAACAACCTAAATATAAGAGCTAAAAACATAAAACTCTAGAAGGAAATGTAGAAATAGTTCTCCATGACCTTGGATTTGGGAATGGATTATTCAGTAACAAAAATGGGAACAAAAAATAAATTGGACCTCACCAAAATTTTAAAACTTCTGTGCATCAAAGTACATTATTAACGTCCATTGCCAAAGGACATTATCAAAGGCAACCTGCAGAATGGGAGAAAATGTTTGAAAATAATTTATACAATAACTTTAATATCCAGAATATATAAACAACTCCTAAAACTCAACAAATAAAAGAAAACCCCAGTGGCTCATGCCTGTAATCCCAGCACATTGGGAGGTCAATTCAGTAGGATCACTTGAGCCCAGAAGTTGGGAGACCAGCTTGGGCAACACTGCGAGACCCCATCTCAAAATAAAAATCAAGATTAAAAAAAATTAGCCAGGTGTGGTGGTGCACACCTGTAGTTCAACTACTTGGGGCTGAGCCAGGAGGACTGCTTGAGTCCAGGAGTTTGTGGCTGATGTAAGCAATGATCACACTACTGCACTCACAGTTGGGCAGCAGAATGAGACCCTGTCTTGTACACACACACAAAAAGACACCATTTGAAAAGTGTGCAAGTGATGTGAACTGATATTTCTCTAAAGAAAATATACAAATGAACAATAAACACATGCAAAAATGTTCGACATTATTAGTCATTAGTAAAATGCAAATTGAAACTCGAAGATAGCACTTCTCACCTATTAGGATGGCTATTAATAAAAAATAATGATAAATATTGGCTAAGATGCAGAGAAATTGGAACTCTTTTACATTGTTATTGGGGATGTAAAATGGTGCCGCGACTGTGGGACAGTTTATCTGTTCCTCAAAAGGCTGTGATTATCATATTAGCCAACAATTCCACCCCTAGATTTGTACACAGAATAATTGAGAACAAGCACTGAAGCAGATACTTGTATACCAGTGTTCATTGCAGCAGTATTCACAATAGCCAAAAGGTGGAAACAACCCAAGTGTCCACCAACAGGTAAATGGAGAAACAAAATGTGGTATGTAACATGCAGTGGAATATTGTTCAGTTGTAATAAGGGAATGAATTTTTGAGATATACTACATCAGTGAATCTTGAAAATATTATCCTAAGTAAAATAAACCAGACACCAGACAGATATTGTATGATTCCATTTATACAAAATATCTAGAATTTTGACATAGAGACAAAAAGTAGATTGGAGGTAACTGGGGGATATAGGAAGGAAGGGATGGAAATTTATTTCTTAATGGTTATAGTTACAGTTTGTGATAATGAAAAACTTTTAGAAAGAGATAGTGGGAGTTTATGTACAACATTTGAATTTAATTAATACCACTGAATTGTACACCTAAAGATGGGTAAAAGGGCCAGTTTTGTATGTAGCACAATTTTTATTATTTATTTATTTATTTATTTATTGAGATGGAGTATCACTCTGTCGCCCAGGATGGAGTGCAGTGGCATGATCTCTGCTTACTGTAACCTGTGCCTCGCAAATTCAAGTGATTCTTCACCCTCAGCCTTCCAAGTAGCTGGGACTACAGGCCTGCACCACTAAAAAATACAAAATTTTTTTAGTAGAGATGGATTTTCGCTGTGTAGGCCAGGCTGGTCTCAAACTCCTGACTTCAGGTCATCCACTCGCCTTGGTATATGTACAGTTTTTAAATTGCCATTTTTCTATTGTCTTAGCATCATAAAACTGTATAAAAATACCTTTTAATATTAATAATATTTAATACTTTTTAATAATAGATTACATATACTCTTAAATTTCTATTGATTTTTCAACTACAATCTACTCTCCTATATTGCTTCTCCCAGCAAGTTAAACAGTCAAAATTCTTTATCCTACCTCTACATTTATTTGATATATTGCATGTACTCAATGGTATGATATTCATTGATTAGTCACTTATTTAAATAATTCACTCCTTGAATTTCAACAAATTCAGGCCTTGCTTTCAGTGGAATTTATAGGCTAGTGATTAAAAAAATGGATTATCCTAAAAACAGCTCTATTTTTTTGAAAAATATGACAAAGTTACTGCTTAATTTTGTCTAATGCATTAATCTATATTAGGTCTCAAAGTTGACAACTTTGTTACATGTCAGAAATTAATGTCAGAGACATTAATTTTCTTGCTGTCACCTCATAAGCAATCTCTGATTCGTTACTATGCTGCATGTCCGTTGCAATGCTGCTCCCCTTAACTTTTACATGACTCTGATTTGCTATGCATTCCACCACTGGTCACACTTCTGAGTTTCTGAACTTGACTTGATATCACATGTTTGTTGCAAACTTTTCCCAGCTGGGACATGTGATATCAAATCAAGCTTTGCAAAAGTGAATTCCTGTTAATACATAAAGAATAGATAGAAGAATTTCAAGTGCCATTTTTCTTATAGCAAAAATTTAAAAGTACAAATTACTGTCAAAAACGGAGATATTGATTGGGAGTGGACACAAGTCAGCAAATCTCTATTTATTATGTACATATAAAATGTAATTGCACTTTAATAAAAATGTGTTATGGCAGTTTCATATTTCTGTAATTATGGAAATTAAAAGGTTATACTATTGATATAACGAGGATTGCTATAGTGATCCTAAATTTAGCATAAACCTATGCTAAGAGTGAATGAATAGCTAGTAATCATAACTTTTTTGCATAGCCTCAAAATTTAAAAACTAGAAATAAATTGCAATATATTTGAGAACAATTGCAGTTGTTATGTAAAATTTTCAGATATATCTGTTTTCAGGGTTCTTCAGAAGTTAGATTCCTCAGCTTTGCAGATGCTACTTTATGGGAATGGCTAGTTAAGTAAATTAGTATGCCATTTGCATGATGAGACAGAGAATGAATGAATGACAAGCTAGACAACATCTACTTTGCCATTCATTCTCTTCCTAAGTTCTCTGAAGAATGAATATTTTTATATTTTTCTGAAAAATATACTCTCATCCTTTGACTTAATTTGTTATACTTTAATGTCAAAACATGTTCTATAAACAGAATCAGGCCTTCACTATGTTGACTTTGAATTAAGCATGTTATATGGCCTTTTGCAAATTTTTACAGTTGAAAAGTAGAGATATAATTGTGTAGAGTTAATCACCTGGAGAAGAAACACAATTATTACATTGCATCATAAGATGTCAATTCTTATGATTTCTTTTTTTAAATAGCCTTTTCTTGAAATAGTGTATTTTCTCCTCAGTAATTGTAGGGTAGGAGGAAGTATTATCAAATGTACGTAACTGTACAATGGTATAAAAGCTGCAATTACAAATTGAACTTACTTTTAATGGCAATTTTATCAAGTACTTTTGTTGATCTGAAAACTTGTCCTAAAAAATCTTACTAATAGCCCACATAGTTATTAACCATCTCCTGTGGTGGTCTGTTCTCTGCAAGAAGGATCAATCATTTCTTTTTATGACAGATTTGGAATAAATCTTTGGAGAAATATTGATGGTATTAAGACCATGCTTTTTAAAGAAATATCAAAGTTACATGAAAATCATTTTTCCACAATCAACTGAAACATATGTGATTTTCTTAAATGTGTT